TTAGTGGGATTGACCGTCACATTATAACGCCCCCACGGCTGAAAGGGCGAACATGTTTTGTGTGACGGGGATTCGAACCCGCGACCAGCAGATTGCGAGTCGATTGCCCTAACCACCTGGCCATGACGACCCCCACCCCCCAAAGAGATAAAGTTCATTCATCTATTCTGATTTGTCAAGACACAAAATGTGAATTCGGGGCACGTGCCAGCACCTAGTAACGCCTCTGATAATCAAATAATTTTAGTAGATACAGGCACGAGTTCATCCTCTAGTTTCTCTTACCGCACACAACACACATACACGTATATTTATTTATAATGAAACTCCTTTTTGAATTTGTTGGAAATTTTTAAATCGTTGCGTTTTATAACTACATCTTTGATTGTTGTTTTATCTTATTTGCTGTTTTAGAATTTCAATTCCTTGAAAGAATAAATAGTAAAGTTGAAAGGCTTGATTAAAGTTTGGCTGAAATGACTAAGGATATTTACCTTCTATATTTCACTAACGCGAGTTTAGCATTTCACATCGTTTTATAGTCAAATAATAATTATAATAAAAGAACAACATTATTTGCTCAGGTTCAAATCGTGTTTATTGGTGTGTCCACACACTTGAATCGTTCATGACTTACATGAAATTGACTAGTATACATGAGAAATTTCGGCACACTATAACCAATGTCACGTTACTTTCCAACTGAAAAATGATACTGATTTTATCTCTACAACAGTAATTACTGGCTACATATTTAAGCACTGTATTTTACTAGAAAAATCAAACAGCGCATTGCTAGCTACGATACAAACCAGGCTTTCATCAAAGCTATGTACATATGAAAACCTCATTCTACAAAACAACACAAAAAAGCCGCCACGGGTATGACAATTTTAACGGAGAAGCTACTTTGTAATTTGTTCTATCACAATGAGGAGCTTTTCCCTGAAAAAGTCTTACTTTAGCTTTACATACCCAACACATGGGATTACACCATCTTCATAACGTTTGCAAGGATGCTTTATTTTGATATTAAAAGAGAGCATTTAAATCTGACTTTCAATTTTAAAAAAACATCTGCACACCAGGATGAACAGTCTCGTGCAAATCTGACAAATTACACCTAACCACTTAGTTATTTTACACTTTAGAATTACTAGAAAAACACTACATTATGGCATAAATTATAAAGCAGACAAACGGTTTGCAGGATCACAAGGATGACGGTCTCAACCAGGACATATTTCAATATGAATAAAATCCAATATATATATATATACGTAAGAAGAATGTAGAAAACTACCAAATATTCAGTGCAGTATGAATTAACAACTAGAGCCTCCTACATCACTGTTCAAAGTCTAAAGCTGTCTTAAGATGGGTCTGGACTCCAACATCCACCTATTTAGGGTTGGATCCTAAAATTGGACTACCATTAAGGATAAGACATGAGTAAATAATGATACAAATGAAACTTCCAATGGTAAAGTACCCATCTGGATGCCCCCACTGAAAAACCTGTAAAGTTTCACATACAACTTCACAATGAAATATCTGAACAGTTGGAGAATCATAGATCTGGTTCATCACATATCCTCCTGCAATTCATTTCTGGGTAGGTCACACTCATCCTATTTTATGAATAAACACTGTAATACTTTGCTCTGTTTGTTGGCTTCAGTGTCTTACTTATTACACTTTTCATATGCTTTCCACTCACTTTAATAGGACAAACCAAAACCAACACTAGTGTATAAGTATCCACAATACTGTTAGACCAATCAGCTGAGTATCTAGGTTATCATCATTTTTAAATAGGGATCATTATTTTCTCTATGAAAAAATACTACCCTAAAAAATTCTTACCGATACAAATACAAAAATGGTCATCTAGGATTAATACAGACAAACAACGATTTTATTCAGTTTCATCAACTTATTTTTTTTCATATTAGTCAAAAAATGTTAATTTTTTAAGCTACTAGTATCTATAACAGAATCACAGCTGTGAACATTTTTGAAATACTTCATTTTGTATATATATTTTATAAGGAATGTTGATGTCAAACAAAAAAATACTAAATAATGTACTTTCAGAAAATATCACCTTGTCTTTCTCTGAGCCAATTGCATTAACAGTTTGTATTTGAGTCTACAGATGCAAGAGTTTCTATTGTTAAATAGTGCGCAATACGACAGAAGACAAGTTCATAATATGGCTGTATTTTGAATACCTATTTTCTCACAATGAGCAATATTTACACAAGACGTTTCACTGCTTACAGCTTAAAAGCTACAAGTCAAACAAACTATTTGAAGTTAGTAAACATTATGTCTAACATTACCAATTTCACTTGTGAAGAATTTGTAACAAAACTTAAAAAGAGGGACAACACTAGCAAAGAAGAACTCAAAAGTGTACAAAATAGACACCAACAAAAACAGAACTCGTGTTCTTAGTCAGGGAACATTCACAAGTGTCACCATAACAAATTATTGAACACCGTTTTATAAATCCAGACCCACCTCTTTTATTAAACATATAAATGTTGAAATATAAAAACTGATGTGGAGGGAGAAATGTTCTGTGAGTCGTAAGTATTAAAAGAAACACATCAAAAGAAAAAAAAAGAATAAATAAAATTTAAATAACTCTACTGACATTTTATTTAAAAAAATTTGGCTTTTTCATCTTTGATACTTTTTAAATGATAACAACTGTTAACAACTCCTTACTAAAAGCAACAACAATGCTGAATTCAAAATTAGTTTCAAAACAACTAAAGCATATAAAACAATCACAACATCTGGCTGTTAGCCAACAAAAGGTTTTCAACAAGACCTTAACCAAGTTAGTTGTCAAGTCGTGAAGATTACTGAAGCTTACCAATCTTTTACTTAAGCAAAAGAAAAGATCCTGAAACTGTATCATTAAATTCTGTATTGTTCCTTAATAAACATTTTTCCTCCATTGAAATATAACAACTCTAACAATCCTGGTCTCCTGTTGTTAATATATTTGTTTAAAAACATTACCGATCCAATTAAATATATTCTGTTTCTAAATTATGCCTTTATTCTTCAGTCTTAATAATACTTAACATCACTAGTCTGCTCATTAAACATATGATACAACTTCAACAAAAAAGGTATATGTTACAGGGCTAAAAGTAAGTAATCAACAAATGTATTAACAAGATTTTTAAAAGAAATTTAACTAACTTATTCTAGAGATGAAAAATCATGAATTAACATATTACTTAATCTCTAAGCACAATTCACATTAAATATGCTAGGATTTTTATACTGTAGATATTACGATTCATTACTACAGATTAATATTTAATTTTCAGCCCCTTAGGAAGATCTCCCTTTTGATTAAACTGACATGAAAATCAACAAAAATACTAATGAATATTCAAAATAACTATGTAAGTTGTATATATCAAAGCCAATTTATATAATTTGATGGTTCACATTTCACAAAAATAAAAAAAAACACAACCTCGATATTTTTATTGTCATGCTAAAACTTCAAAGATAATCCAAAATTATGTGGCAAAAAATTTTGGTTCTATTATTCATTAAGTATACTGTCACCAAAACAAAAATTATAATGAGAAAAAAAAAAGAGTTTCTTAAATTTTCAAAATCATCAATTTATCTGCAAGCATTTATGCATGTGTTTATTGATAGTAAATGTAAGTATTATTGTAAGTGTTAAATTATACATTTATCCTTACTTGCATTTATACCTAACATTATTACAATGAATTTGATAAAACCTATGGTAAATTTCCAACAAAATTATATATTTAATAACCTTTTTTTCAGAGTCCCTCTTTCAGATTAAATCATCTGTTTTCACACTGGTGGTGTTATCAATACACTGTATTTCAAAACTGTACATGGCTAGCCAAAGTTTGAAATTATTACACCTAATTCTCTTTTGCTTCATGTTAAAGAATACTTCTAATACTTAAATTTAAATATTTCTCATATATTTTCATTTATAGTTCAGGAATATTTTTGAAATCTTCATAATTTTGATAAAATATTCAACATTGAAAAAAAAATTTTCCGTTGTTTTTTTAAGTTTCTATAGATGATTAAGTGTTACTCTTCAGTCAGAAAGTTATAAATTTGTTTCTCTAACAAGTATAGTTTAAGCAAGAATGACATTTTTGTTGTAAATCTCATATATATTCCTACAAATACACTGGATCACAGAGAAAACGGACAGTAAAAACCAATGCCACAAAACATATGTAACATTAATTTTGTTTTGTTTGAGACTTACATAGTTTGGTTTTCATAAGAAACAAAACAGAAAACTTCTGATATCATCAGCTCCTTAGAAGATCCTTTTATCTCTCTATTCATAAGAAGTGTATGTGCAGAAGAAACGTTATGAGTACTAGGAAACTAATGTACACCACATCAGATTGGATTTCACAGATGTTCTGATGGTTTGGGTTAATAGCTAGTAAACATCACTAGATGGAACAGGTGGGTTTACAAGACAAATGAAGAGACGAAAAATGTTCATAGATACCATGAGGTATGAAATTTACAGCCATTGTTAAAAAGGCAAATGTACAGACAAAAAGTGTGCAAAGATACAGAAAAAAAGAAGTGGATAGACAAAACATTTACACAGACAACATTACAAGACAAATGGGAAGATGATAAATGTACAAAAACAGTTAAAAGTGGGAAGAAGAAAAACGTATACAGAGACAGTTAAACAAGTGGGGGAAGGAAAATTGCACACACAGACACAAATAAATGACAAGTGGGGGAAGTAAAACTGTAAAGAGACACAGGTGAAAAACAAATGGAGATATGAAAAATGTACAAACAGATACCATTAACAGACAGGTAGACAAGACAAAAACCATAAACAACTGAGTAATTTTCATTAGAGAATCTGGATTTACAAAAATCCATGCAACATGTTCAGTTTTTTGGGGTTTTTTTCAGTAGTGTTTTGTGAACAATAACTTAGGTAAAAAATTAAAATAAAAAAATGAAATAAACAATCTCTGATATGTGGTATTTTCTCATTCTGACTGGTTTTCCAGGCCTGAATTTTCGTACTTAGTAACTGAAGTACATACATACATACAAACAAGCAATACAATGTTTTCAACAAATACTAAAAACAGCTAGAATCTATGTTACAAATCCTAAGCTCTTGCATATAAGCACACTTATATTATGTCAATTTTGCAACATAAACAAAACAAAAAATTAAATTGCAAGGAACTTCCTGGTAATCCCTGATTTTTGTATAGCATGCTTTGAGTTTTCTTTAAACACTATTACAGAAAATGGTGCAATTAAATTTTTTCTCAAATAGATGTCAAAATGGGGGAGGTGCAGATCCTAACTTTAGTGCTACCTGTTGTTGAGAAAATCAGTTTCACTGAATGAATATTGGTATCTCTCATTAGACATTTCTATTTCTACCATAACTTAATGTTTCGCCTGTTGTATTTCTTGTCAATAAAGGTTTTGATGGTTTAGATATGGTTTCCTGTTTGACCAAATCAAAAAACTTGTCTTTATAGCTAGCCACATAATTGTGAGCACTAAAGTTGTACATCAAACCCAACACCACATTTAAAGCCGACATGTCATAGCGGTGACAACCGGAATACCGATACATAGGTTTCTTGTTAAACCTACAACCCGAACCCTGAGCACCAATAGGAGCGATGCAGTCTAAGGTGAGGGCACATTGCACCCATGGTAGCATCAGCTTGTGATGAATTGATTCGGTATTGTAGAGAATTATATGACTAGGATCAACCATGTGGTGGAAGTAGTAGTATTCTTGTGAAATGTGAAAATAGTCAAACATTTTTTGGTGTGTGAGGGATGAAGTTGGATGATCAAGCTTCCATGCCACAAGGCCCTTTTGCTCTGCATTTTTCAGTACACTAGATGGAAGAGTTTTATTAAATCTGAACTGAATATCCAACCAAAGCACAGCTCCTGCCTTATTTAAGACTTCCTGTAAATAATCATATAATAATTGAATCAATTCAACATTCTTTGCAAAAGACAGTAACTGCTAACAAAATTTTTATACAAGTTATTCAAATCTAGGCCGATCAAATTTAAATGTATACTGAGTGCAATGAAAACTTTATAAAAGTAATCTATATATACTAGATGTACTTCCTCAGTGTTCTGTTTCAAGAGTAAATAAAACCAAAATTAAGAGTAACATAAATTTTAATTTCTTGTTTTTTAAGTTCATATGTCATGTTGTGTTGTAGCCTACAGTGTGCATAATTCTTCTAGTCATTCACAGAATGGGGACATTTTACTGACAGTACAAATTGCAATGTTACGCGTCCCTTATGTGTGACAATTTTAGTGTTTACTGACTGACTGTTAGACAACACACTACTGTAAAGTGTTACGAGTGGTTAAAACAGGTGATCCCTCCAGGCGGCCCTTGGCCACCTTTTGGGGAAATAATAGCCAAATTGTCTGTCTGTCACACACTGTATCTTCTGAATGGTTAATTGTAGAAAAAAAAAAACTATATATCAAAACGTATATTTCCAACAGTACATTTCAGGAAAATTTATGTTTTTTCACTTCCTAAAATTTCATGTCGATATCAACACTGAACTGTAGTCTTCGTATATACTGAACAATCAATCTGAGAAAAAATTTATTAAGAACAAAAAATGTTTCTTTTTATGGGAGAATTGTACAGCATATACACCCTGATCCAAGGGATTGGGTTGAATGCACATTTTAGATTTATTCATAACTATTTTTAACAAAATTACCATTGAATTGTTTCAACAGGCATCTACCAGTATGGTATAATTTTCACGTGACCATTTGGAATAAAACCAACTATAAAAATGCATTGTCAGCTTGTTTATGTTGATTAGGAAGACTGACATTGATTACAAAATTATTTTCTTCCTTTACAACACGATTAGTTTTAATTAACACTTTTTCTAATCAGTAAATTCACCAGAACAAATTAAGACTAACTTTTCATTTGAAGAAACAATTTCTGTATTTGATTTAAATTTCTAAATAAAACTAAAATACAATGTTTCTTTAATAGATTGTGTCTCGTGTACAATTACCTCTTAAAGTTACAAATTCATTTTTTTAGTATTAACATGAAGTAAATCAAAAACCTTTGGTGAAAAAAAAAATCTGTGACACACACACACATATATATATATACATAATCAATAAACAGTTGATCTGCTGTATAATAACGAATAATAAATTATGCACAATGACATAACATTATTCACGCACCTAAATTAATTGAGGTTATTGTATGGTGGATTAAAAAGGACTTAAACCTCATAAATCAAAAACAAAATATTTTTGTAAAGCCAGAAATACACAAGCAACTTTTTTTTTTGTCAGTTCTAGATGATAACTAAAAATGTAAGATTGACAATCCTTTTAAGCAGTTTTGCTTGTTTGAAGAGCTGGGGAGTAATGAAGTAGCGTTACACTACTTAAGCAACTTTTCTGAGATTTACTGTTACTTAAGTACTCTAAACATTATTTTACTTAAGTAAAATCAAGAAGAAATTACCTACTTTTACTCCACTACATTTGTTTTATGAGACTGTCGTTACATTTGAAAAAAATTGGAGGAAAACAAAAGAAAATCACACTCGTTACCATGGTGATAGTTTTTTGTTTTACATCAATCAGAGCACGCCTACTCTTTCAAATAAGAGAATCACAAGCAGTGGTATTTCCTGTGCTGTTGAGCAGGAACAAAACACAGCCATTTTACATCTAGTGTTGACTGTGATAATTCCATCCTACTGTGACCATCATGTCTGACACATGGCCTTATTTGAAAGATTTATTTTCACTAAAAACAACAGTGGGAAATTCGGTGAAGTTGTAGGATGCGGACATTTGTTTAGTTCTGCGGGGCTCTCGTTCGCACTGAGACGAGCTAATCTGTCAAGTGGAAACTTTGAAAATCAGCTGCTGCTGAAGCTAAATAACAAGTGGAGTATATGAAGAGCTGTACCATAGATAGTAATACCGATTGTTTTAATAAAAATAAAAGTTTGTTGAGTTTATATTTGGTAGTGCCTTTTATGTGTGAATTTACCTTGAATGTATGCTATCATCACTTATTTTTGGTCGGTACTTTTCACTTTATTGCTACTTAAGTACTGTATATATTCAGTACATTTTACTTTTATTTAAGTAGCCATCAACAACAGGTACTTTTACATTTTTACTGGAGTGAATATTTTCTAAAGTAACAGTACTTTTACTCAAGTAAATATTTTCAATACTTTACCCATCACACAAAGCTGCACAAAATGCTATCTCTGCAGTGCCCACCACGGGTATCAAAACCCAATACTTTTAGCAGTAAGGCCACAGACATATCACTGAGTCACTGGGGGCTAAGCAGGTTTAAGGTGGTGCCTGTTTGCAGTAAGCACGTTTCGGCAACTGCGATAGTAAATGAAAGAATTCTGAAGAAATGCCAATGTAAAAAACATTAAAGTGTGAACTACATGAAGCATACTTTTATACAGTAAGTGCATTTTGAGGATCCTGCAGAATTCAAGGCATTAGAACACACGACCCCATCAACAGTTGAAGGTCTGTTGGTTTGTGGAGTCCAATCATTGCAATGCAAATATGAGAAGAATACATTCATGCTGCCGAGTGTCTAGCAGTAACTTTCCATTTCTTGGTAACGGAAAAATTATTCAACTTTACATTACCTACGTTGAATTCCAGATAGACCACTGAGGATTTTTTTCAGAAACCTAATGAAACATTTATGATGTCTTGAAACCAGAAGTCTAGAAGGTTATCTATATATATACTTTTTTAACTCCTATGTTTTATTTAAAATTGCGGTGTCTTTGTATATTTATTTCAATTACTGCTACCCTTCTTCTCCCAGCAAAGTACTAAATTTTAAGTTTCTTCTGTTTGTCCTTTACCTACATTGCTGATTTTCTAACACTATTTGCTAATTCATTACATTTTTCTTGATTTTTTTTATGATAGTCTTTATATTCTGCATATTTAACATCCATAAGCATTTTGTATCACATAAAAATTTATCAATCTCAAAATTTCCTCATTTATCCACTTGTCTAGCCAAATTTAAAGGTGATTAAAAAAATGAAATATCATTGGCTGAGCACTCATGGGCACATTGAAAAATTATCAACTGAAATGTTAAAAATAAAGCAGTGGTCTATACCATCAACTTGATTGTCAATTAAAAGTCTGTTGATACGTTGGGTTGTCAATTAGTGACACATAGTCAAATTTTGCCAATTTAAGTTGCAAAGAAAAATTGCTCATGTATCTCCAGTTTAAAGTTATAAAAGAAAGTTCATCTTACCTGAATTATTACTGGTCGAAAAGCAGAAAGTTTCAGACTATGAAGATGTGACGGAAAAGAATCAAAATCAAACTTTTGAACAGAACATTTGGTAAGATTACAGGTTTTCACAAGCTGAAATAAACAAGCAATATATGTTAGTATAGAACATATAAAACATGCCTTATTGAACAGCAATTCATACAATTTCTTAGTTTTCCAACACACTAATGCACACAAAACTTTCTCCTATAGCACAAAAGATTTGAAAAGGAAAGGCTGGAGCTGTACAAGTTGCAATAAGATACTTCCAGGCAAAGGAACAACCTTTAACCTAAAACTGTGAGTGAATCATAAAGAAATTGTCATGTTTGGGTAGCAACTTTCAAAAAATAAAATCCACAAAAGTAATTTCTTTCATAAAACTTTACACAAGCTCAGGGTTTAATCTCTTGCTTTAAAGAATGCACTGAAACTCTCAAAATGTTGTTTCATTGTTGACGTTTTGGTCTACTTGAAGCAAAAAAACTTTTTCTTACAGCCATTCCATTTGGACATTGCTGTGCACTGTAAGAATGGTTCTCAACATGTTAATGACACCTAGAAACAAGCATAAGTGTACTTCAGCTCTTTCTTACAAAATTATCTGTTTTTTCTGTTGAGGTTTGATCAATCATATCTAAGTTTGTCAGTTGTTGTATGATTGAAAATGGTTACAGTGAGAAGAATAAAGCATATTATTCTTAATATTTCATGTGTTTCACAGTTTTCTTGATCTCTTTTAATTGAATTCTAACATTTTTGACTGACCTGTCTTCCTGATCACTTTAACCTCAACACCAAGTTGAGAAAGCCCATTATGATTGCATCCACAATACTTATATTTCATGCAAACGTCACAACTTCCAACCTTACACTTGCAACTGAGACTAGGGTAAATATAACTTTTGGACATTCCCTTAGTGTATTGATTAGTATAGCACCAAAAATAGCTCTTCTATAGGTAAATCACTTTAGAACGGGCAACAATCTTTCAAGAATAACTTTACATATATAGAGGGAAGAGCTCACTCTCAAATGACCAAATGAAGATTACTCTATAAGGATTTAGCTGATAAGAACATAAGGTTTGAAAGCTCTAATACTATATTATTGTTGAAATACAATTCTAGTGATTTTTACTGTTTGCCTTATACTGTGATGATAAAAACAGTCAATAGTTTCTATATAATGGACTCCCAATTTTAGGGTTAAAACATTAAAAAAATTTGTCCAATAAACCTATTGTATTTTCATCAGTGTTTCAACATAAGAAATTTGAAAAACTACCAAAAAACAAAAATAATTATTCAAACTTGGAGTCACCTCTTTGCGAAGCCCGAACTGCAGTGTAAAATTTAAAATATTTTTAAAAACAACAAACCACTGATATGTTTTAACAACAATTTTTTTATGGTGTGAACACCTTTTTCAAGCTGGCAAAGCATGATTATAATTAAATATACTTGTCATAAGATATTAGTATTAGGCCTATCATATTTCTTAAACATCGTATTCTTTATCTAGTCCCTTGAGGATCTTCCAAAATAAGAATAGCGTACAATAATAGTATTTCAACCGTACTATGTGCATACCATATACATTGCTGACAACACATTTTGCTCAGTCCACAGTTCATCAGGCCGGCAGGGACACAACACAGTAGTAGTTGAAACATTACTTATACAAGGCCATTTGTTATGACAACAAATGTTATAGTGTACAACTGCTGTTAAAACATGTGACTTACATAAAGTGTTCCAACCACTACTGTGTTGTTGTTTTTTTCTCAATCAGACAGACGAGCTCTGAATTGAGCTAAACACGTCGTCAGCAATGGATATGGTATACATAGTGCAATTGAAATACTATTATTGAACACTCGTCGAATTCTTGAAAATCCCTAATGGACTATATAAATAATGTACTGTTTACAAATATAATAGGCCTAGTACTAATGTCTTATGACAAGTATAATTAAGTATTGATATGTTTTATTGATACGGTAATATTACATTCGTTAACATAAATATACATAAATAAATGTTCATAGTTAAGTTTCCAACAATTCCTAGTACTGTAATCTACTTAAATTTCTTATCACTTTCAACCCCTGCTGAATACAATCTTAATTTTTAAAAACTAAATAATGTCAATCGATAATATATAATTAACAATAACTTCCTGAATACAACCAAGTAGCTTTAGTGGCAAAATTGCTAGACTAGATTATTCAACCCTGGTGGATAGGCAAGTACCAGTAAACCAATAACAAAATGTGCTATTAGTTATACTTCCTACAGTTAGTTCTATACCCACAAAGTAATTTCACCAGTTATTTTTTTGTTTGTTTGTTTACTGTCATGAGTAATTTTACTCAGCTTATGCCTAATTATTCTTTGTGTAATCTATAAAACTATTTGTAGCACACAAGTTTAATAACAAATGAAACAATTTTAATCATAATTCTAGTTTATTTTACATCCCATACTAGCTATGTAAATAAAATAAATAATCAATGAGTTAATAAGCAAATGAATAGACAGACAGATAAAAGATCTCAATGATTAGTGTTTTTTATTTACAGTTTCATCAGTGCTGTAAAAAAGAAAACTCATACAAAGAAATAAACCCATGCATATAAATACCAACTATTTAGATGTACTCTCAACCCATAACAACAAGTTCTGGCTTTCACTTTACATGAAATGTAATTTAGATTGCTTAACTTAAAACTTGCTTTTGTAAAAATGAAACAGAAAAACAAAAAGTATTTATTGAAATAAACTATGCTTAATTCACATCAAGCCAACTTTGCAATGCAAGGTAAAATATATAATAATATAATCAACCAACACACAAGTTCTGATGTAATTAGCTTTTCTTGGTTGCATAAGCTTTTGAAAAAGATGGGATGTTATAACCTCAGGTCTATTTTTTACAGTACATACTTTATCAATCCCATACTCTATTTCTGAATGAAAAGAATAACTCAACTTAGCAGTTACTAAGTTCTTACTTAACTATTTCTATCTTCTGTATCACCATCTATTACTACTAAAGTATATTAATTCTTTTTTCATTATCATGAAACACTTTTCTAATAATTAATCAATCGTTTTTATAAGAAAAGCTGGGACAACACTAAAATTAAAGGAATGGATATATATAAAATGCAGTTCCTGGAGAGATTCAATGAACATTTTTGCTATAATTTAATTATTAACTAGTAATCTAAAGTAAGCTAACTATATAGATTAGAGCTTAAAAGTAGCTTATAAATTAAAAATGTCAATTCTGCACAATAAATTGGCAAGAAATATATAATGTCGCAAATAACAACAAAACTAAATCCTATAATGATTTCAGTGCAAGGAATCATCACAGGGTAATTCCACTAGTGGTGATATTCCCAGCCATTGGCTCTGCCTTATCTTCTGCATATGTGGAGCTTGGGAGATTTAGTTTTAAATTCATACATAAATCTAATCCAAAATAATCTTTGTAGGTGTAACAAAAAATCGTGATAATTTGTAAAAGTGGTGTTTCAATTATATATCGTAGCTACTACAAGAATGCGACCCTAAGTAGAAACAAAATATGTCATTACTTACAAACACTAACATTTCTTCTGCTCTTACGACCCACACAGCTGGTACATACACACAGCCACACAAATTTATTGTTTATTCAACTACTCCAATATTGTGCAGAAGACTGAGTAGCTTCCTTAATGTTAAGAAAATTTCCCCTATTCACTATTAATATAAAATGCATTAAAATTCCAAATTTTCATGTCCCTATTTTGTTTTTCAATAAAATACTTACATTAAGGCCAGATTTTCTATGAACTAATATCATTTATGCTGCCCATAGCCCACTTTTTTCTTATCTCTAATAATAAAATAGAATTTACTTACAATAGCAGCCTCTTCTTCTGACAAGTCAAGATCATATAATAATACAACATGATCTGGGAGATATTTCTGGCTTGACCTGATGAGCCCAACAGCCAGACCAGTTTCACCTGACGAAACAGCAGTTACTATTACCGGTAATGTCACATTGCTCCAAGTACTTGAAGGATACAACCTTGGATTGTTTGTAAAGCCCAGAAGTTTCAAATAATTTTGGTTGACATCAACTTCAGGAGCCTCGGAAGGTAGCACCTACATATATAGATAGTAAGTACAAAACAATATCTAAAAAAATGGACAAATACAGACATATACGTATATGAATTATTTCCTCTACACAGACAGGATGACTATAGAGAAAAAAAAGGGGGAAGCCACAAATTTAAAATAATTTTATTTTAAAAACTAATTGTCCTAGGAGAACAGAATTTCCTCACAAGAATATCAAGAAGGTTTGGACATAGTACAATGTGTTTCAAAAACTGTCATAAAATTTTAAATATGTTTTCTATTATTCTCAATCAGCATAGCAAAACTGTTGTACGTAAATGAAGCTACTGCATTCACCATCTGTTCTGAGCAATGTTCACTGATCTTCACAATATCCTGCACGATGACATCATTATATGCAAACCTCCAATCTCATACTGGTGAGAGAGAGAGATAGACAGAAGAGAAGAGAAAGCAATGTTATTTTACAAGAGAAGTGACCTAAGTATGCAGTCTGATATGTTCGGGAACACCTTGTATCACATCCGAACTTCCATTATTTAAATTTACAATTCTTAATGTGCCTCTAGCAACATTTTGTTTCTACTGAGGCAAGTATTTTTTTTAAAGATATAGTCATTTTAAGTATGGGATGTTCTTTATAATCACTTTGTATATATGTGGAGGATCAACTTTATTTTATTCCAGTTTTCACTTCTATATTTAAGACATAGCAATAAAAAAGGAGGGAGGTGACAAAGTTGTATAAGCTGTTCAGAAAATGTTAATTGAAAAATACTTTTTTTTTTAATCAGAGCTAAAGAATTGTTTAATTCTATTCTGACACAACTAACAAACCTAGACAACCAGCTCACTAACATCATTGACAAAATAATTAAAAATTGTTAATTTAAAAAGGGGAATAGGGATCATCAAAAAAAGTAAAATGAAAAGATCATATTTTCAAGCCTAAAACTGGGGCCTCTAAAAGAAAAATTAAACAAAATAGGCTTGAAATAGCATCTACATTACTTTCTCAAGCTATAAATCCCTATTTTTCACTCTATGTCTACAGTACTTATCAATTTTTTAAACTGAATTGTTAAGCTTAATAACAACTGAAGCTAATAGAAATTATGCAATGTTTTGAAAAGCATAACAAAGGAGTGACTATTCGAAACTGCAACATCAATAACATTTTGTGGCATTTAATCTATAACCTCAGAAAAATCATTTATGTTAAGCAAATACTTCACACTTTTTCTACTTCAATAACATTTTTTTTTAATGACATGATTTTCTGTACTATGTTACTAAATTTTGAAGAAAAAAATTATTAAAAAACAATATTTAACCTACTTTAATGCCTTTGAGTTGTTTTGTAAGCTGTTTCTGTGTTGTAGACACAAACTCGTGAATAGAGGGCTTTGAATCTCCAAACAGGCACACTATAATGCTTGTTAAGACAATGCAAGCTAAGAGTGCAACAAAGCTTTTTGACTTCATCTGTTCCACCATAACACACCTGGGCCACAGAATTTTCTATTTTAGTCGCATTTTATAAAACCATCTAACATCAATGTCCATTTTTTTTTAATTTGGAACTGCAATACGCAATCTCTGATTCTTCTTCTGTGTTTTCAACGTTGACGTTACCTGCACCTAAGATTGAATGAAATGTATATAATATCCGTTGCTCCACTATATGCAAAACAAACAGCCTGAATATGTCAACAGGTCTATGATTCCTCATGAAATTAGTTCTTCTGAAGGATAAAATGGAAGTTATTTTCTAAATCTAAAAACTATAATAAAGAAAAACCATAATATCTTTGAAATGTATATATACATTTTGACCAACAAAGCTATTCTGTTTAAGTATGTTTTTGGATATCACCTGATGAATAAGTCTGAAGCCTTAAGTTTTGTGGAATAAAAAACAAAACTGTAAACATAAAATAAAAAAAATGTCACCCAGTTTCTAAAAGAATAACAAGACATCCTCTACATTACTACTACCAGAAATAAATTTATGGATGTTTACCAGAACTAAATTTATGCATGTTTATTATTTAGGTACTGAAACCACAACAACACACGTGTATTCTTGTCAGAGCTGGACATTACTCACTTTTTTCTTTTATATTTCCATTACTGATTAAATAAAATAAATAAAAGAAAGATAGAAATAGCACTTAAGAGAGTAATGAGCCTTTAACACATTTGACCAAAGAACTAATTTAGTTTGTGCACCGAGATGTTGGTCCAGATCTTACACTTTTGAAAATCCTATACCCAAAGGTTACAGAATCCTAATAACTCATATCTTTTAGCACAGAAGACCATATACACATACACAACTCATTATCATCATTATTACCCACTATTATTTGAATATTAAATGTTTAGGTGAAAGAACAATAATTTAAAATCTCCTTCTGTTAAAACCACATGACTGAATTCAGCCTTAGCTAGAAATCAGTTAAGCAGAAGTTCCATAATTTTAAGACTTGAAATGCAGATTTCACCAATCTATATTTTTTGTCACTTTAATATTTTCATCCATAATTCATATTTTGAAAGAAAATAAAAGTATTCTCAAAGACATTATCATAATAAAATTCATGAGTATAAAACTATATTTTTCTCTGTCAAACTACAACAGGAACTAGATAGTTCAAAAAAAGAAAATCAAACTTTATCTTTACAAGGTAAATATGAATGTCTGAAATTAAAAAATGACAAGTTTTATACCACAAAAATTTCCTAAACTGAACAACTAATATCAGTTTGTATTAACACGTGTAGCACAATATTTTCTTTAAGGATTTCAACTCAAGTGTTTCTAAGCAAGTGAAACTAACCAAAGCTACTTTTTAACACCTCGTACTTACATTAACAAACCTGCTGTATAATTATTTCAGCCACAGCAAGTTTAAAACATTCCAAAGCTCATAATTAAAAAAAATATATAGTAGCATATTCTGTTTATAAATATTAACAAATGAAATGGCCTCAGATTTGTTTATATAAATGTAATGATTAATTTTATTATTTACTCATAAATACTCAACACACTATACATGTATATGTACATAGTCTAGTGGCATGCAGATTTTAACAGAGTACAATACCCTACATGTACATGTGAAACATTTTCATAGTCATTCCACACTAAACAAAACGTACATGCCGTTATAAGCAAATTCTTGAATGCAATTTAATGCATAGGTTTTTTATGAATCCAAGTAAATTTTTGTCTCAATCTATAGTTACAACAGCAAGAGTTGATCTATTCCATAAACACACATAAAATCTTGACATTTTAAACATTATTCTGGCCTTTAGTTACAACAGCAAGAGTTGATCTTTTCCATAAACACACATAAAATCTTGACATTTTAAACATTATTCTGTATCACGTCATTTAACTGTTCAGCATACGTACATGCATGTGATGCCGTACAATTTATTTTCTCTACCTATACGTAATGGCCTTTAGTTACAACAGCAAGACTTGATCTATTCCATAAACACACATAAAATCTTGACATTTTAAACATTATTCTGTATCACGTCATTTAACTGTTCAGCATACGTACATGCATGTGATGCCGTACAATTTATTTTCTCTACCTATACGTAATGGCCTTTAGTTACAACAGCAAGACTTACGACCGTACAATTTCCGACAAAGCTAAATTTAAGCACATTTAAAATAATCACATCCAAGAATCAAACATTTAACTAACAACATACAAAACAAGAAACTAAAACTCAAGTTACAACCTTCAACACACCTTAGTACTCTTACAATACACAGTCTGACATATACGTTGAAGCAAACACAACCCACTAAGAGCAGCTGGACTAATCAATATACCACTAGTTTGTCTTAAAACTGTTGGTCGCTTAGCAACATATAAGTAGCATGTACTTCTATTACAAATCTGCAATCTCAGCAAGCTCAAGTCTAGAAATATACATATACTGAATGTTTAACATACAATCAATAAACACTAGTGTTTACACCTACATGTGTTGGAGATATATCACAGCTATTTATGTATAATCAAATTTACTGCTCAAAGGCTTAGGAATCCTAGAAAATTTTCCTACACGATTAAAAGCCTGTAATAACCAGGGGTGCTTGTTTTTTATCCACTTATAAAGATGAACAGCTGAAATATCAATAAAAAAAATGCTTACATTCTGTGGCATCCTCATGGATAAATAAAAACAATGTAATAAATAAATTAAAGCATTTTACTCTGGGAAAGAAGAAAACTAAACAAACATTTGTTTTTCTCAAGTAAACTAGTCATTAGACATTTGAATTGCTGATATTTGGATAAATGCTAATATTATATGTAACCAAATGATATATCTTTTCTATTTACCCATTTGTATAATGATAAGAAAATTATATGTTTAAAAGTTTCATATGTAAGCTGTATAGGTAACTTGTTCTTAAGCTGAAAACATAGCAGCAAGATATTACAAAGTCTATGAAAAAAAATAAATGAGAAAAAATCGATGTCCCAGAAGGTCATTTATTTCCCAACCAAATACCTATTAAACATAAACTTATGTAACCTTTCACATCCATACGCCTATCAAAAAAAAACTTGACAGATTTCCTACAATAAGAAAATACATGTACTAGATAAAAGAAAACTAGTTTAAAATTCAAAATTATGACAGTATCAATTCTGCTCGAAACCACACATTTTTTAAAATAATCGTATCTTCTCATGACATTTTTTACTGTCACCATTATTATGAATGCAAGACCCCTTTTCATAATACCAATTTTACAATTTTACTTAAATTATTTAAACCAGGTATTATTCTAGCAGTTCCATTCTCGCTGTGTATCCTTAAAATACTAGTTGTCCTACGGATGAGTACTTCTATTTATATACTACAAAATTTTGAATTTGTTTTTCCTTACTGTAATATTAAGAAAGACATAGGTTTGCTAACTACTGCAAAACGTAAAACAATTTCTTAAATCATCGCAAAGATGATGATTAAGGTTAACAGAAATATTTCACAATTGTGAACATTTATAGAGGTGAGAATGAAAAGAAGACGTCAAACGTAAAAAACTGTACATCTTGTTTATTTCTAAAGAAATAAATTTAAGCTATAAGACATTTGCTGTTAAAGTGTCTACCCTAGTGTATGACGTGCTTTCTTGTAGTGTACTCTATGTTGGTCAAGTTGCAAAATGTGTAGTTTCATATTCTGTTTATCAATTTGAAATGAAATAACCATTCTGTATAAAGTGAAATTTGATTAATTCTTTAACTGTCACATAGTCAATATACACCATGACTTCACTTTATATTCCAAAGAAATATGTGATGCATAACTTGTAAAGTTCCATTAGTTTCAAAGATTTGGTTAGACTGAGAAGAAAAACTCTAAATTATAGTGTTATAAATTATAATTTTATATTAAACTAGATAATACTGATAAAACAAGGTTTAGTAATTAATTAACTACTTCCTGCATCTTCATTTTAACTAGTTTAATTGCTTTTATGGTGTATTATATTTTTGGAATTTCTAATTTCTTTTTAAAAGCATTTCTGATTTTCACACTGGCTTTTTGGAAAACATCATCACATTTTCTACTAACACCAGTAAATAATGCAATGATAAAAATCTGATAAATGCTGCTAATTTTTGAATGGTTAACTGCAAGAATGAGGGAGAAAATGAAAGTTGTTGTCGGGTATTAAGCAAGGCATATTAACCGCTACAAATACTGTTAAAGGAAAAAGCCCTCATTTTAATACAGAACTATGATGCATAAATACTGACTGAATCTTTATCTGTAATAGATGAATAATGTTCCAAATTTTTAGTTGTTTTTTTTTAAGTTGTAGCAAGGATGAATAATTTTCATATTAAAATAACTTTTGTAGACATCATGAATGTCATATAATAATAATAATAATAATACCTGAAAAAGTTTCCAAAACTGATTATTATGAACCACTACCAGAATTTTTTTTTGGCTAGTACTTTATTAAAAATAATTTCTGCACAATTAATAGTTCAAAAAACAAAAACAGGGCACCCACATTTATAATCTGATTTGCCTGCTATATTTTACAACAGGCTACTTCCGTATACTATTGTTCTGGTTCTGAAGGGGTTGTTTGAAACTTGTGTTTCACATTTGCAAAACTTTAGTTACAGCAATTTTACAATACATTACCTTTAATTTCTAACTATACATTACTGTTTCAGAAACCCTGAACAATCCCACGAAGGTCAGAGCCACCAAACACTGCCTTTCAATGTATCTGAAAACCTCACTGCTTTTTTAAAAGTAACATTTCAATTATAATGCCCGCTGATGTACGTGTATTGACAAATTCTACCGAATGGCTTATCACAAGGATTATTGTACAGATTTTTAGAAAAGCAATCCTGAGCTTTGTTATAATTAGAATATATTTTAATTTATATATTAAGTGTCAGAAAAACATCTATCAGTTGAAACTAAAACCTTTCAAACTGCTTCTTTCTTGTACTTCATTAACAGATATCCATGACCCCCTTTATTTAATGGCTGTGCTATTTTCTATTTATGTTAATGCCTAGTTTATTTCTAAAGTCTTCTCAAGTCTCTTCATTTTTCACTATTCCTCTTCAAAATCACTTGCACTTGTTTCAACGAGATGCATCAGTCTCTCTGTTGTTTGGTGTATTTTAAAAACAGTTTCTGAAAAGACTCATGATATTTCATAGCATACAGTAAAAACTCCTGGATTATTGGGTTTCTTTCCTGAGAAGTCTAGTAGATTTCTCATTCACATTTTTTTGGACATCACATCTTTTACATTTAATAAATCATCAAAATCTTCTGTATATGCTCAGATGTGCTAACAATAAAGTATGTGCTTCCATTTTGCCTTTTATAATGTATCTGGAGCTAAGCAGTTACATCACTTAACCAGCAAGTTTTAATACCCTATTTAGTCTTCCTGTTTCCATAAAAGGATCTTCCTAAAATGGTGTATAACTGTATACTTTAACATTTGCCACAGTGATTAATTTAAAAAAAAGCTATATTACACTCCACACTTCTGGTTTTATCCTTATAACTTACTCGACAAACCACTACTGAATACCTTAAGCATTAAATAAATGACAAATAGTCATGTTGTTAGACTAGTCTAAGCTACTAACAGAAACCTTATTTTAAAGATTTAGGCTCCTGAAACCTAACAAGCTTTATAGTGCAAAGATTTTTATCTGTAACATGTATCTACAATACATCTGTTGTACCTACAACACAACTGTATTACTACTTGAACTTCCCTTTGAATAATAATAATACAAAGTTTATAAAATTTTGAAAACAAGGAAACATTTAATTCTTCAAGGTTGTTCATGCACAACCAACCCTCAAGAAAAAGTAAAAACTTAAACTACCCTTTATTTTAGAATTCTATTCCCATTTCAAACTCTTATAAAATACCAAGCCTTCACTATTGCTGATGGTAATACATTAATTCCATGTGTTAATAACCATGTCAGAGAAGTAAAACTGTCTTAACCAGTTTTCCAAATCTTACACTTGTGTTTCCTTGTCTTCAGAACAAAGTGTAACTAAATCAGAGGATTTTATCCTATTAATCTCTTAAATAAACTTGTAAACTTCAATAAGATCACCTTTTACCTATGTTTCTCAAGGGAAAACAAGAGATCTTAAGTTATCTCTATAAGATAACTCTTCAATCCTAAAATCATTCCAATAGTCCTTTGCTGAACCCTTCCTTAGATAGAGAGACAAAAACTGTAGACAGTATTCCAAGTGAAGCCTACATACTAAAGTTGCCAAATGAATTGAGTCATTCTGTAATACCTAAGCACCTTCAATACAGCTAAAAATACTCAAAAGGTTTAATTTCATCAACAAACTTCACTAATTTACTAATTATGCCTCCATCAATATTACGTATTCTTCTTTTATCACGCACTCTAGAATTTTCACACTACACAGATAAGAATGCACGGTACACCATATTATATTTTAAGCAAATTATAAAGAGAGATTAATACTAATAAAAATATTAGTAGTCTTAGTAATAGTAGATGCAGGATATTGTATAAAACTTGTAATAATTGTACTAGAACTGATATTTTAGTTTGGTAAACAACCATAAAATAATTATTCTCTAATTACCTTGGTAAGATCCCAAAAAATATATTATTATTATTATTATAAGTTAAATTATACTTCTACTCCTACTGTATGTTGTAAGTTAACTTAAGAGTACAGGTTCTTGCAAGTTGCAGAAATAAATGTTTTGTTTTTTTTAGGGGGTGGAGAGAATAGATGGATTTTTTCGGTGAATACAAGTGTAGAATGTTTGTTTATTATAATAATGTTTAAATATATTGTTATCTCAATTAACTTAATGGGTCTTGAATTTGAGCTTCGTCACTTCGGTCTTCAACTGATGACCAACATACATTAATATATTGATCTCTGTTACTTATTGTACATCATTATATGTAAATTGGAAAACTTAAAAAGACATGAACTTGACTCTAAAGAATATCTTAAGTTTTCTCAATCGCAACAGTATATCACTGTTAATAAAAATGAATAACGTTAATTGCTGAACTTAAGTTTAGCCTAATGTTTCAACCTTCAGGCTAAACTTTAAATTTAAGACTGCCTCGCGCATACTGCATTATATAGTCCTGCGTTGCTACTGCTAGTTAGTTACTGTTAGGCCTAATTTATTGGTAATATTTTACAAATAAAATCCTTCGTCTTAATCACTCTTGTCCTATGATAAACATATCAGTTAGTTGCAAAAGTATTATAAATGAAAACTCTGATAAGCCTTATTGAAATGTTTTAAAATTTGTCATTAAAACTTACAGAATATTAGATTTTACCTCAGACAAACAGTCCAGAGAACAACAATCAGTTCTCTTTTCCTGATTAACATACGCCTACAATGACGTCATTAGTCATCCCTCTAGATATATAGAAATATAAGTAATTTCGTTTTAAGTTTACTTACTGATTAAGTATATTTTAAATTACAGCTTTTACAGTAAGTAAGTAAAATCTTACTTACTGTAAAAGCCATAACTTCTAATAAAATATGTAAAAATATTCTTCAATAAAAAAATACATTTTTACACACGACACCATTATTTAATCGATGTTGTACTGACTGGATTTTATAGGATCAAAAGTCACTGTAATAACTCCAGTCAAGTTAGAAAAATGCACTACTCTGTGGTACTATGAAAGAAAATAATCTGGTGTTTTAGTCGATAGCAGTCTTTCAGGCAGTGTGAGAAAGCAAAAAGGAATACTGAATATAAGTCAAAAGAGGTTTTCGCTTATTTGTCTCATTTAATGTATTGTACTCAGTTTTGAACTTCTTATTTTAAGAAAACAGAGTTTGGAAAGGATTCTAGGAAGGGCTGCTAGGATGAATACTTGGATGGAAGAAGTGTCATATAAGGACAGGTTAAGATCCTTCAAATGTGCCTCCAGTGGCACAGCGGCATGTCTGCGGACTTACAACGCTAGAAACCGAGTTTCGATACCCTTGGTGGGCAGAGCACAGATAGCCCATTATGTAGCTTTGTGCTTAAACTACAAGCATACAAACAAACCTTTAAAATGATTTTCTCTTAAGGAAAGAAGGGTTTGAGGTTTTCAAAATTACAAAGGAGTTAGATAGAATTGATGCATCGGCTTAATATTATTTTTCGAATAGGGTAGTCAGCCTTGGAAATAGAGTGCTTCAGGCGTGAGAGAATTAAGACAATTCAAAACAGGACTTATGAGATCTTGGGGAACCACGATTGGATATAAGCAGATGGGTGTTGAAATTAATGAGACACCAGGATGGGCCAAGGGGCCTCTTGTTGTCCCTCAAGTGTAATATATGTTATGTGTGTGTGTGTGTATAGACAGAGGAAAGAAATTTTGGTCAAATCTGAAGCAATGCTGCAGCTGTTCTAAATGCTGTGGTCAGTTTGTTTGTTTGTTTTGTTATGAATTTCGCGCAAAGCTGCACGAGAGCTATCTGCACTAGCCGTCCCTAATTTAGCAGTGAAAGACTAGAGGGAAGGCAGCTAGTCATCACCACCCACCACCAACTCTTGCTTGTGCTACTCTTTTACCAATGAATAGTCGGATTGACCCTCACATTATAACGCCCCCATGGCTGAAAGAGCGAGCATGTTTGGTGGGACGGAGATTCGAACCTGCGACCGACAGATTGCGAGTCGAGCGTCCTAACCACATGGCGATGTGGTCAGTGACGGATTAAGGCTTGGGCAACCACTAGGGGCCCATACAGAAATTGAAAAAAAAAGTATATTAGATGAAATTTATAAACATCTTATTGTGTTAATCCGTCACTGGCCGTGGGGAAAATGTTTTTAATGCTTTGGTACAAATCTAAATACTCTAAAATCACGTGAAAAGGGACAATTTAATTTCTGTTGTAAATTAAGAGAAATTAAATAGTATGTACTATATAGGCACATCATTAATCTGTGGAATGCGAATAGTCCTAACACTGTATGATATATTGAATTAAGTTATTAATATACTAATAAAATCTGTTCTCCCTTCAACAACCTGTATGGTTATGGTGTGTTCACCTTTACAAGTTGGCGAATAATTATTACAATTATACTTGTCACAAGACATTAGAATTAGACCTATTAGATTTTTAATTAAATAGAATTTCCTTTATTTAGTCCTTTAAGAATTTTCGAGAATTAGAAGAGTTTATAATCAAAAATACTAAAAGTGTAATAATAATCAAATGGCTTATCTAAATAGTGTTCCGACCACTGCTGTGTTTATTGTATCCTAGTCAGCCTGGAGAGTTCTAGATTGAACGAAACGTGCCGTTGGCAACGTATATGACAAATATAGTGCGGCTGGAATACTATTATTATTATATACATTCTTTTAATTCTCCAAAATCTCTAAGAAACTAGATAAATAATGTAGTGTTTAAAAAAATGTGATAGGCCTAATACTAATGTCGTATGACCCTATATAGTTGATTAGTTGTTATAATTAGTAACATCATTGATGAAGAGACAGCAGTATTGTTTATTCAACAATACTTTTACGTATTTTCGTAATTATCTGATTGAATTAAAATATACGCGTTAAACATCGTTGCAATTTAAATAATTATAAAGAAAAACGGTCAAATGTTGTTGTTTTTTTCACCTTTCGGATCAGCTGATCAAATAAATTCGTAATTTGCTAATAAGCCTCGTATGTATATATATATATT